ATTTTTCTTTTCACTTATTAAGTAGGAATCGTGTTTCAACTGTACAACTACCTGACTTCTTTTAGAACAAAAAATTTACGCTTTTAAAAAATTCATTTTATTTATCGTTTTAGAGTGAAATCAAAATTTCTTTTTATCTGTAGCATTTCATTTTCAATGCAGCATTAAATACAGTTTTTCCAATTTTACCCTTATCTCTTTTTAGTTTTAATAATATATATTAATGACAACTATCTAATTTTTTACCTCAATTTTAAATTTTTATAAAGTTCCAATACTTTAATTAGAGGTAAGAAAGACAATACACTTAAAAATTAAATTATCAATCATTGTTTCCTTAATATTGTGCAAATTCTAAAGTGACAAATAAAACCAAACGGAAGTAGTATTTACTACTACCATGAAAGAAACAGAATAATGCAATTTAAAATCGTTTTCATGAGGGTAACCAAACCAAATCAACATGGAGATCTCTTCGGAGACAAAGAGTGCATCCTGCCTAATAATCTCACCGGAAAAAAGCAAAGGAAAGCCTACCTGATATAACAACTACTTTATCATGTTAGGTCCACCCCGAGTTAAGAACCCAACCCCCCAACCCAAAGCTCTAATTAAATAAAAAAAAAATATGGTTTTCAAAAAGAAAAAAAAAATCATATAATCAGAGTAGGCTCTATTGACCACTTCATCTTTTTTTTCCCCTCTTTTCTTGATGATCTTCTAAAAGCATGACAACTCCATTGCATATGCATGAAGGACAAAAATCATATATATATATATGGAATAAGGACAAAAATTCCACTTGACCAGCAGGCAAAATTGCATCGTTTTTAGTGGAAAATTGTCTATAATATAAGCAAATTGAAGTGTGCAATGTCAAAAATGCCCCTTACAATTACTATAAATAAATAATCTTATTTATCAAAAAAAATTAATTATTTGTATAAAAGTGCTTACCTGTAACGGTATGTACTTTCAAAGGTATTCAACATCAATTTGACTTTGGTTGGCACGTAGTAGGAAAATAGTATATATATTTCCACGGTCTTATATATATCCAACACAAGCCAAAAACTAGTACTATAAATTTAATGAGAAGAAACTGAAAGGTAGTCAATGTTTTCAGCTGTAGAGGACTCGTGGTCGTGGGACTCTTTTTTTTTTTTTTGCGCTATTCTTCTTTTTCGTTATTTAAAGTCTAAACCCCAAAGGTGTGAGGGTTAATTACTTATTAAAAAAAGTATTCGGTTTTCAATATAAAAGTACTAGACATTAAATTCGTGCGGCTATACAGGCCGATTTGGTAAATAAATGTCTTTATGAAATTATTTTACACGCTTTAGAATGTAAAAAATATGTATACAAATCGGTGCCAAAAACAAACTTCCAAAGTTAAAATACAACACTAGTAGGACACATTACCTCAAGAACATCATTTCTTGGGTATATTACCCCAAATGAAATCATTTCTTGGGTGTAACTGAACCAAATGAAATCATTCAAATCCCTTCAAAGGTGTAGGCTTGATTCTCTCGTCTAAAGATATGAATACCAAATAATATGAGGGAAAAAAAGGGAAAGAGAAGAAGAATGAAGCCCAAATAATTATTTCCCTTTCCTTAGTGAATTTGTTTATTGCAGTTTAACCTAGTTAATACTGTATTAGAAGAAGTTCAGAGAGAAATCAGTCATATTCAAGCTCAAGGATATGTTGTTCACAGACAGTAAAATTTGCCGCTGCAAGTTGACAAAATTTTAGTTGTTTTATTTATGCATGAACTTTTTCTTTTTCTTTTATCTTTTTTTTTTTTTAACTAAAACCTTTAAACAAAAGAATATGGGTAGTTGAGACGAATCAATCACGTTTCAACCAAATATAGCCAAATTTTGATCTTTTTCAGACATTTTTTTAAGATGGAAAACTCTATCAAATCTTCAAAGTTGTAACTTGCAATTTTGTAATTTGAAAGCATATCCGTTGGATAGATACTAGTTAGTCACAATTCCATCATTTGTTAGCTTTTCAGTATATAATATCCTCTTAATTTGCAGTCTCTAAAATATCAGACATATGTGGATCTTTGTAGGGTAGTCCACGTAATGGCAATTGGTAGGACTACTCCTTGCCACGGCACAATTAACGAACAAACTTAATCAAATTAACTTCCGTGATATGTGTATTTTTTTCTACTTCAAAATCAAAATTTTTTTCTTAGAAAAACATATCTTATATTAATTTTATTGAGAACCACCCAATTGCGAATGACAAAAAAAAGCTCTAACAAAGGATAGATTAGAATCCTTTTTAGTTCAATAAATATGAAACTTTTCTTTATTATTTTTATAAGGGATGAAAAGATACCTATTTTATTACGAAATCATGAGTTTGAAATTTGTTAACATCTATGAAAAACGAAAAAAAAATTGAAATTATTTAAAGGTGAATAGTCTTCGTATATAACACATGAGGCATAGAAATGTTATGGTGTTTTAAAATGTATTGTCTCTGACATGTAAACATAATTCACATTATACATTGTAAGTTACGTAATGAAAGTATAGATTATCTTAATAAGACAGAGGAAATACATTTATATCCGATCATCATCAATTTTAAGATTTCCACCACAAAAACTTGAACTCAAGTAAGAGATATAAGTTCACACCCTCATCTACATTTAGTAGGTTAAATATTGCTTGCGAGTTCCGATTAAAAATACTGCCAACTTTTTGATTTGACTTCACTTTTATTTAATATGTTTTTTCAATGAAAAAAATTAATTTATTTTTTAATGATTGAAAGAACAAAATAAATATAATATATTTTTAATATATTATTTTTAATTAGAAAAACATACAACACGAAAGTTGGGTACTTCGATTGTGGTGTGCGAGCTACTTTTCATTGATGATGATTGGTGATTGTAGTGGCCTTGAAGAGTTGAGAGTGGGAAAAAAACAAACTGTAAAAGCAGGATGTTAAAAATAAAATATTCGTGTGTGACATTTTGCGTCTATATTTTCTTCGTGTGCTCCCCTGTACATAGATCTTTTTTTTCTTTTTTTAAAAGTTTTTCGAAGGGAATATTTCCTATCATAACATGTGCAGACGGGATAACATATAATTATTATTATTCTGTTTAAAAATGTTTGTCTAATTTAAATTATCATTTTTAGTATAAATTATACTAAAAGTCAAATTTCAAGCTCGACAATTATTTCCGGATGGAAAATTTTTTATTTTATTTTATTTTTTCCTTTTCCTAGTTCAAGCTATTCAAGTTGCCTGAAAATGTACATTAGTTAATTTCCATATCAAAATAAAAATGTACACAAGATTCTCATCTTTTTTTTTCCTTTTCTATTACATATTTGAAGAGTTTCAACTACGGGTAATAGTCTTTACAAAGTTATAGGCACCTTCATGGAGACAGTTATCCAATTCTCATCTGATTTCCATCTCCTTCCGTTTCTTCTTGAGATTAATAAAAAAAAAATCCAGGTATTTTTCACAATTATAACCAGCACAAGAAAAAAGGAAACAAGGAAAAAAAAGCCAATCAATTCTCTCCATATATGTTATGCCATTTTCCTGTTTCTTTCATTCTTTTAACTTGTGCCCAGAAAGAGACTTGTATATGTCCTTCGCCATTAAGAGACGTTTGGAACAAATTTAGGGTATTTTGCTAGCTAGAGATGCTTCCTTTTGATAATTGATCCAAATGGTTAGAGGTACTTATCCCTGGACCAGATAGTGATATGGCCATCGGTCCATCCATCAAAAGCTTGTGTCTGCTTGAGAAAAATCCAGATAACTCTGAGGAAAAAACCTCAGAGTTATTATGTCAAATACTCGAAACATGGTTATATATCTTTTTTTCCCCTTAAAAACAAAATGTAACATATAGAAGAGAAAAACGATCTACATCCAACAACAAGAACCAGCCTACATGCATTTGTATCAGGCGGCCTTGAAATCGATATAATTTGGGTAGAATGCCGCAACCTGCCAGTGGTCGCCTTGTACTACAATTATATGTGAATTTACAAGAGTGATGCAGAGAAATATTAATTCGAGAAATGTTGTAGACTCCTCCCGATTCTTGTAATAATGCATTTTGATTTCTCTAAAGTTTGATTTATTGTGTTTTTCTAATTGAAAATAAAATATTAAAAATATATCTTTATATTTATTGCGTTCTCTTAATTATAATAACGCATATTTAAGTTTTAATTTTTAATTGGAAGAACAAGATAAATTGAACATAAGAAAATAAATAATATCTTATTATAAGGATCGGAGGGAACATTGGTCGCATGGGAAGTATGCATATTGTAATAAACTAAACTTTATGTAAAAATGCGACTACCCTAAAACGTTACGTAAAATGCATAAATTCAATCTATCACAGTCTTTCGGTTTTTTATAAACCACCCCCCCCTTTGTTTTTTTCTCTCTATCTTAATTCTTAACTTATTTATTTATTTTTTTAAGACAATTTAAAAAATAATAGAGAAAAAAATAGGGCAGTGAATAAAGTAACCCTATATCAAGTAAAATTTAATAATAATGAAAATTTGTATTCTTATTGAATCAACGAACTCTAACTTTTGCTTTAGCCTTGGGTTTCTTCTATTGATTGTGATATGTTGGAGCAGAAACTTCACTGTAAAAGGACTCTTGTTCCAATTCCCGTTCCGTGTCAAATTCCTCATCCTCTGAATCATTAAAAGCATGGTGTTGTTCTCCGTCGGAATGGATGTGTTCATTCGAAAAATTATATTAGAAGACTCTGTATTCATTCCAACCTCAGTATCATCTTTCGAGTATTGATTTTGAGTAACCGGGGCTGAAATAGGGAGTAAAACTTGGAGAAGTGGGACTTGTGGTCAAGGAGAATAATTAAATTCAGCTGCAGTAGGATTTAGTTTTTGTGTGGAGCTGAGTTATTTTGAGAGAGGATATCTTCAGAATTTGAGGGATTCGGTAGAGTTGTATTTTAGTTCGAATTTTCCATGTTTAAGTTAGGAAAATCCGGGTCAGATGGTGGTTGAATATTTTGTGGGTTTGACTTCTTTATTTCCGTGGAAGGCGCAACATTAACCGGCTCATCAGTAGACGCAAAAGACGCGGAAGGTTGTTGCGGACTCAGCTGCGCGAAAGGCGCCATTGGCATGTGACTTTGATCTTCCTTCGTCAATGGTGACTTTAGCCGACCATCTCTTACCGGCGATGAAGGATTCTCTCCGTTGCCGGCAACAACATCCAGATTTGCAGGAGAGTGTTGAATCTCGGTTACAGCAGCGACATCAGGGGCAATGTTGGCAGCGAGAATTTGGTGTACGACTAGGGTTTGGTGAGCAGGGGGTGATGATGATGGCTCAGTATCAACGACTTCAACAGACCGCTGATCTTCAGAAGCTTGCTGAATTGGAGGCGCGACTTCGACCAAAGAACCATTGGCTTGCTGAATTGGAGGCGTGACTTCGACCACCACCAAACCAATGGCTTGCTGAATTGGAGGCGCGACATCATCCATCGAACCAATGGCTTGCTGAATTGGAGTCGTGACTTCAACCATCGATTGGATTGGAGGCGTGACTTTAACCATCGAACCAATGGCTTGCTGAATTGGAGACGTGACTTCGACCATGGAACCAATGCCTTGCAACTCCATTTTCAAAGGCAGAACATGCTCCTTTGAACCTCTTTGTTTCTGCAATTTTCCTTTGTCGCCATGTTGAATTTTCCCCTTTGATAGCCCCAAGATCGGTGGCTCTGTGGCTTTGATTGATTGCTTGTCTGGTTGTTGTTTTGTGGACTGTAATGTATCCAACTTTTGGTGCGTTGTTGCTGCCTTATTGTGTCGATAAGAATTGAGATCATGCCCAATCTTTTTGCAATCGACACAATATAGAGGCATATTCTCGTAAAGGACTGATTGAAAATAAGGTTTCCCTTTGACACCCAATCGAATTCGAATGGGATGATCCTTAAGAAGATCGATCTCGACACAAACCCGTGCCATCGAAGGTCTATGACATATTAATGGTTGGGACATCGATTTGGAGAGGATTTCCGATGGTACTAGCAAGCTTCCACAAATATTCCTTATTAAAACGATGAATGGGTACACCTTCAAAAGAGATCCAAATCAAGACTATGGAACTTTCATGTGCTGGATTGAAGTCCGTAGTCCATTTGATAATACGCATTCGGTGCTTGTCAAAAGTCCATAAACCTTTTAACCAGCAGCGATAATAGTCTCCTCAAGATCAAAACAGATGAGGACATGTCGGTGGTCGATCATTCCTATTGAGAAACTTCTCTTGAATACGATAGTTTGGAATTTTCTCTGCAAATAGTCCATTTTTAGCCTACCTTTGGTAAATTTTCCTAAAAGAGCGAGTTGAAAGGGGGCTGTCAATCGTTCATCTTCTTCTTTTGTAAGAAGAAAAGTCGGCTCTCCTTTAAAGAAAGTTGGTTCTGAATGAATCACGAGTGTGGTTAGAGCTTGATTTTTTGGTGTTTGGCTATGTATAGTTTTTGGATTGGAATTAGATCCTAGTATTTGTACAAAGGAAGGCCGCTGAGGAGGTTGGTTTGGTTGTTTTCGGTCTCCGGCCATAGGAAAAAGGGAGAGAGATATTAGAGAGGGAGAATAAAGGTTTCATTATCAATTTTAAGAAAGAAATATATTAACATTCATCTTAATTCTTTACTTTTTAATCCTTGGGTCTATAGGAAAATCTAAAAAGCTAGATAATGAAAGTAAAACCAAAGGAAAAAAAGAGAGTATGAACAGGTTTACATATAGGGCCTGTTTGGTTGTCTTGGAATCTAGGTGGGAATGTAATCTTGTCATTGTTTTTCAATTTTTATTTTTGTTTCGTTTAGGAATGTAATCATTTTCCTAATTATTAAATTCAAATGTTTGTTTAGTTATAGAAAAGTAAAAAGATTCCAAAAGTCAAAAAAATCTAGGAAAATAAGTGTAAGATTCTAGGATTGTGATTACCCACCTAAAAGCTGTTTTTCTTTTTTACTTTCCTTTAGATTTTAAAATTTTATACATTTTTTTATGTCTAATCTTCATACCATTTTTTATCATACTAATCATTTATTTTTTTAATTTACTCATGTTCTATTTTCAAATTGACACTTATTTGATCAGATAAATTAGTCACTACAATTAATTTATATTAACCAATATAAAATTATCTATAAATTAATTTTGATTTAAAAAATTTATTTTCATTTTTCTAATTTTAAAATTACCATAATATTAAAATATCAAAATTCTCAATTTGAAAAAATTAACAAATATAATTTATTTATTAATTAAATGATTTAATTTAAAAGAGCTTACATTGACTTTGAAAATTCTTTAAAAATTAACTTGGTCTAATTTAGTTTGATATGAATCATAATGATAAGTCTTTTTTTCTTGTAATGATATTTCTAATAGTTAGCAAAGAAACAATGACCTTTTTTACTTTATTAATTATTAATAATTAAAATACTTGATTTGACCGCATAAACTAGACTATTTATCAAAATAATTTTTTTTTGAAAAAAAGGAATTATTGATCGTTCATATACAAATGTTAGATATAAAATTTATAATTTTTTAACAAAAGAATTAAGTTTCATTAAATAACTTGTAATATTAAAATGGCTATGGTAAATATATATATAACGTCAAAATTTAAGCTGATCATATTTAATAAAGTTTTAACTTGATTCATCTAGCTAAAAAATATAACTTTTGTTAAATTATATAATTTTACACCTACACACATATATTTAATGTTGTTTGTGTAGTTAGATTTTGAATGGATAGTTTCAAGATTTTGAAGTGAAATTCAAAACCAGCATGCTGTATGTTTATTGGCGACAAAAAAAAGATTTAAAAAAAATCTCACTTTCAAGCCTATTTTCCAAACATGTAAACAAGCATAGAAAGGTATTTAGATTCTCCAAAATCATATTCTTAGGAATCATAAAATAAAGTAAAATATTAATTTTTCTCTGAATTAATATCTCAGAAATGTTCATTTTACTTTCCTCAATTTTCTAAGTAACCAAACAGGCCCATAGAGATATATGATATGAATAGTTTTAACTTTATTTTTAAATCATCGTTATAAAAACCTATTTGGTCGGACCACATTTGAAGAACATTAGAATCTCAAAAAAATAAAACTAACACTAAGATGATCTTTTTACATGTCTGTTCATATATTTAAAGCATCGGTCGACATGGTTATAGTAGATGTAGCTTCTTTTGTTTTGTTTCTACAATTAAGAGATAATGATCATCAAGCTTGAGATTCATTTATGCTCTTTGCAGCATGATATTTTTCATTCCTTTAATTTGGTTCTACCGAAATTCTTAATCATAACCTTTTGGAATATTACAGCAATATAGTTAGTGGGTTGGTCAATATTATTCACCCGAGACCTCACTTCCAGTGGTAGTTATTGTTCCTTTGTTTTTTCCTTCAGGAAAGACACTTGTACTGTTCTTTTCCCCTATTCCCGAATTAAAATATCAATTTCTAATTGAAAATAGAGGTCAGATTTGTTACTTTTCACTACAACATTTTGATTGGAAACAAGTGGCAAAAAAGGTTAAATGAATGTATAATAACTGATTTTTTTTTAATTCCAGCCTAGCTACGTGGCAGGTACCACAAACTTTCCATTAATAAACTTCACACTAGACCATTTACTTAAATAGGGTACATAAAAACGATTAGTGAAATTATTCAATGAAATCATTTGTTTCTGTGTAGGATACGGTACTCGAAATAAGCCAATTTGTTTTCTTTAAAATATATATGAAATTCGATCGACGAGGTTTAATATTTCTTTTTGAAAAAAAAGTACTACAAAGTTGGATTCGGAGAATGAGGTTTAATGGAAGTTTGACAGTAATTTATTACACGAAATAAGGGACATTAGAATCTCGCCCTGACCTAATTGTTAGCAAACCCTGTTTACCCGAAGTAAGAGTTTTTATTTTTCCATTAGTGATTACAAAAAATTAAAAAAAAACGATTATGAATGGAAAATCATAAGTAGTTATATTTTTCATTGAAATCATACCTTTGAAACCTTAAAAAATATCGTATACAAAGTAGGTTAGTTTAATAAAACGGGAGAAATACATAATTTACTTGTATAGTGGGACGAAAAATTATAGTTCTACAAATTAATATACTTAGACCCTTAAAATTTATTAATTTATAATTTATTAACGAACTACAGACGACTCTAAAGGGTCGGCATATAGGCTTAATAATTAATTTATTGATAATTTAATGATTTATTGAATAAGCAATTTTTAATTCTATCAATAAAAAATTACAAAAATTAATTTTTTAAATAAAAAAGTCAATTGCAACCTTATTTATATCATTATAATTTTTTTAATGGAACGAAAAGATAATAATCACATACAACAAAAAATTAATTAAGTTGAAATATATGTTAATCTTCGAATAGATTGTTTTTCTTTATTTACTAATTTACAAAATTTTGGGGACCTATATTTTCATATAAGATTCTTAAAAGATTATTATCTTTTTAATAATTGAGTTTTCTTAAGTTTTTGTATTGGTTTGAGTCGGGACCAAGAAAAATTATATTTAAAAGTATTAATTTATAGAGTATTAATTTATGAAAATTTATTGTAATAGGCATTTTGGAGATGTTTGAATTTAATTTTTTTTTTTTTTGATTGAAGCTCCTTTTGGAAAGGATTTGAGGAATTATTCTAAAAATATTTGGAACTTTATATTGTCTAGTGAAATAAACAAGCATAGATTTATCTTATTCAGCAAGTAATGTTTTCAGTCTAATATTATGTAACTATTTGTCCAAGGGGGAAAAAAAAGAAGTCCCATATCAAAAAAGTATTAAATTTTTTTTTTACAAAAATATTCCCAATATTTTGAAAATAATGTCTATTTTCTTTACCACCTCTCTTTCCTCTCCTCATAGCTAATGTGGCCAAAAAAAGAGGGAATTAGATACTCACTCTCCATCTACCAATGTGCCAAATAGTTTTTTCCTTTTTTTTTCCGTTGCTCTATGATCTCAAGAAAAGCCTAAAACTTTGTCATACCGTTTTAGGAATATTACTCTAAGACCATCAATTAAATTAATTGACCAATAATTGAGGAAGAAGATACGTTTTGACTGATACATCATTTCGCTGCTTAATTTTGTTTTATTGGTGCTTGATAATTACAAAAATAAATAATAAAATATCAAGGGGAACCTGATTCGGTTTCAATAATTGTGATTCAGATTATGCCATATACACGTTATATTTATGTTTAAATTAGTTTTAATTTTATTCCCTTTCGCTTTGATAGATTAAAGTAAAATTTGAACTCCTCAAAGGGTACTCTATATATATGTGCCGCGAAGATTGATCAAAATGCACTCAACAACATTAAGTCATAATATCACAAATCATAAAAGGTTTGTTCTCGTATTTTTTCGTTATTGTCCCTTTTCTCGGTCATCTTTTTGGCCATCTCTTAAAAGGCTTGAGTAATTATTTGTTTACTTTCCCCTGTTTTTTTTTTCCCTCTATCGTAGACATGATGGGTATTTCAGGGCAAGTCAGCTAGGTTGGGACGATTGTCAAACGCGTCTGAATAGTGTGGGATCATTTTATTCAGCACGAGCTAGACGTAATTCAATTCAACTCTCCAACTTCCTATATAAACCCCCTTCTTGCTTCTCCCCTTTCAATTCATCCATCCTTCACCTCTTTCAAGTTTCCTCTCCTGCAATTTTTAGGCCATTTTTCATTTAAAGCTCAAAACTTTCTGATTCTCTAGCACCCCATTTCAGCTTCATTACTGCTCTTGAGAAGTGCGTTATTTTTATTTTTATTTCCTTTCTTGTCAGAAGGAGCGAAGAAAAAACAGAATACAGTTAGGAAGTGTGGTCCTCAATTAATTACTCTGATAATATCATTTCAATTGGACCGCCAAGAACTTCAATTTTTTTCCCCTGCAAAGAAAAGCTCAGCTGATTTAAGAATTTTCTTCTGATTTGTTCGGCAAAAAAGGAAAGATGGTTGAGAACAATTCAAACCCATCGAAGTTGCAATCAAGCTACAACCACTCCCAAGGAGGATATCATGTCTCACTGGATGTGGCTTCTTCTCAAGGTGGTTCCAAATGTTTTGACGATGATGGACGGCTGAAGAGAACTGGTATGACCCTCTTTTCCAATCATTGCTTCACTATCCTTTTTTTTTTTTTTTTTTTTGCTTCACTACCTTAATTCTTCAGTGCGTGACTGTGCGAAAAATTCTGGTGTTCTGTTTTCTGAACAGGGACTGTATGGACCGCAAGTGCTCACATCATAACTGCAGTAATTGGTTCCGGAGTTCTATCTTTGGCTTGGGCCACAGCACAGCTGGGATGGATTGCTGGTCCAACTGTGATGTTGTTGTTTGCATTTGTCACATACTACACTTCAATTCTTCTGTCGGCTTGTTACCGATCAGGGGACCCTGTTACTGGGAAAAGAAACTATACTTATATGGATGCAGTCAGAGCTAATCTTGGTATATATATATTTTTTCCTGATGTAATTTGGTGGATATTTTGAGCATTTTAGGACAACTTGTTCAACTAGAATTGACCGTGTTTGAAATGTGTTTCTTTTTTCTTTTTTCTTTTTTTTTTCCAGGTGGGTTCCAAGTGAAAGTTTGTGGAGCAATTCAATACTTGAATCTTGTTGGAGTAGCAATTGGCTACACTATTGCAGCTTCCATAAGCATGGTGTAAGTTTCACTAACTTGGAATTTGATAGTTATTGCTTTCCTTGCATTTTCTTTTTTTTGTCTCCTTTCTTTTGTTATGAGATTTGATAGTTGACTAATAATTACGTGAAAATCTTGAATTGAACAGAGCTATCAAAAAGGCAAATTGTTTTCATTCAAGCCATCAGAAAGATCCTTGCAAAGTTTCAAGCAATCCTTACATGATCATGTTTGGAGTTGCAGAAATTTTGTTCTCTCAAATCCCAGATTTTGACCAAATATGGTGGCTTTCAATTGTTGCTGCAGTGATGTCTTTTACCTACTCTACAATTGGTCTTGGACTTGGAGTTGGAAAAGTTGCAGGTAAATAGAGGTGTCTAATTTTTCCATATTCTTTTGTGATTTTTTGACCTTTCTGGTTTTCTTTGACCTTTTATAGTTTCTTTATTACTGATTGAAAAGGTGTTGAATATTTTGTCTCTTTTGTTTTTATTTTGTAGAATCTGGCAAAATCAAGGGAAGTCTAACTGGAATTAGTATTGGAACTGTGACTGAAACCGACAAAATATGGAGAAGTTTCCAAGCACTTGGAGCTATTGCTTTTGCCTATTCTTACTCTCTTATCTTAATTGAGATTGAAGACACAATCAAAGCCCCACCTTCTGAACACAAAACAATGAAGAAAGCTACTTTGATAAGTGTGGCTGTAACCACGGTTTTCTACATGTTATGTGGTTGTTTTGGTTATGCAGCATTCGGCGACCTTTCTCCTGGGAATCTGTTAACCGGTTTTGGTTTCTACAATCCGTACTGGCTACTTGACATTGCAAATTTGGCCATTGTTGTACATCTTGTTGGTGCATATCAAGTCTATTGTCAACCTCTTTTTGCATTCGTTGAAAAAACCGCAGCAGAATGGTTTCCCGAAAGCAAGTTCATCTCTAGAGATATCGAGATCCCATTGTTTGGATTCAAGTCATCATACAAACTCAACCTTTTCCGGCTAATTTGGCGTACGATTTTCGTCATTTTCACCACTGTGGTTTCGATGCTTATGCCATTCTTCAATGACGTGGTTGGCATTCTAGGTGCTTTTGGATTTTGGCCATTGACAGTATACTTCCCAGTTGAAATGTATATTGTGCAAAAGAAAATACCAAAATGGAGCACGAGATGGCTATGCCTACAAATATTAAGTGTTGCATGTTTGATTATCTCAATTGCGGCTGCTGCTGGTTCTTTTGCCGGAGTGGTTAGTGATCTCAAAGTATACAAGCCATTCGAGACGAGTTACTGATTTGTTTGATCATAAGTCACAATTGTTTTCTTATGACGAGAAAAGGAAAAGATGAAGATTTTAGGATCTCAATTCTTGATTGAAGTCCATAAACAAAACCTAAAAAGAGGATTGTTACCTCTAATTGATCGAAACTAGTAGCTTACTTTCTTTTCTTACCTTTTCCCCTGGAAAAAATGGGGGTCCATGTATGTATGTATCAATTTGCAATGATCATTTCAAAGAAATATCAGAATATTTCATGCTTTCGTTTAGTTGACTTATTTGAAAATTTTGCATTAAAATTTCATTCTGGAAGCTAGAATTGTGCCCATAAGGATTAAGTTTCGAAAAATCACAACCAAATCTTTGTATATACTTGTATTTAGCTGATGATATTCTTTTCACCATCGAGAAATCACTTGCAATTCTTGCACATGCATGTTAATATTTTATTACACTGTTTTATGGTACAAACCGCGCTCCCAAAATGTTCATATGACGAGAGGTGAAAGTCAGTTTATAAGATACAAGTTACTTGGGCAGTTTCAAAGGCTTTAAGTGTTCGAAAATCACTCCTATTGTAGATTTATATAAGTTTATTATTTATAAAATATGATAACATTAATTATTGAGGGTTTGCTTCCCATAAACAATTCATCTCTAAGTCGATTTAATTTAGATCAATTTGACGTAATGTGTGATTACTCGTAACTCCTCATACCACATGCATAAAATCAATCATCAACATGATATCTACCGTATGAACTTACTACAGTAAATTATAAATCGAAGATGTACGTTTGATGAACTAGCTGAATTTCTAAGTCAAGAATGTGATTCTAAATAGTGTCGTTTACGGATGGCTACATTATTGGTGTAGACCATACTGGAAAAGATGCGCTGGAATTTTTAAATACTTGTTAGTCTTTTCCTACATAACGCATCAGAATTCATACCGAATTAAGGCTCCGTTTCATAATCACCAAAGTCTGAATCTGAACACTTAACACTTAATATTGAAGTCTGAAGTCTGGAAACTGAATTTACATTGTTTGATAAAAACGTGTGAATTTGATGTCTGAAGACTGAAGTCTGAAGTCTGAACACTGAATTTAAATACTCAGGTTTGAAAGTTATTTAAAATTTTAATATCATTAAAATTGAATTATGAACAAAATTCTTTTAAATAGAAAAATAACTAATATTTTGTTCTAAATAATATAATCATAATTTTAAAATAAGTTTTTGGTATATATAATGAAAGTAGATATTACACTTGGTAAATAATCAATATATAATTAATTTTAGATTAATACATGCATATATATACCTTATTATTTAGCAAATTTCATGTATTAAAATTAGTTTAATTTGAGTTTGAAAGTTTGAGATCTTTTATACTCATAATATAAACTCAACTTTAAGCACTCTTAATTAATTCATCTTAAGAAAATAAAAATTTTAAAACAATGTAAAAATAAGCGTCGAAATAAAGACAAAGGAAAAAAAAAAGAAAAAAAAAAGTCATTATAGAAATTAAGTGATAAGTGATAAGTGGTTGGCCTATCACTTATTTTCTGGCTCACAATTGAACTGGACATTCAGACGCACTTAATTAATTTAGACAGTGAAATTTTAGTTATCAAACGCACTTAATTTATAAGTACTTAATTAGTTCAGAACTTAATTCATTAAGACTTTTTAGTAGCGATTATCAAACACACTTAATTTTATTAAGTACTTAAATAAATTAAGTCACTATATTAAGTGATTATCAAACAGAGCCTAACTCTTAACTTTTATAGGTTCGGGTTAATGGTCTTTAGTCGGACATTGCTCAATTATACTTTTTTTTAGGAGAATCCAGGGCGGTACCTGGCGGGAGGACCTCGATTTTATTAATTAAAAGTAAAAGTTACAGAAGGCAGTGCTTAAGACTTATCCAAACGAAAAAGAACCGTCTTACAAAGTTTTCTAGTAAAACCATGACGATTCTTGTACAATTACACTAGGAACTGTCTTACAAAGATAAAACTATAATCCCCTAACAGTTCACTTTTCCTATCTAGGTTCCTAGGAGCTTGCCTTACAAAGATTAGAAACATAAATCCCCTGACAACTCCATCTAGGTTTCTTGAAGATCTAGAGACTATCTAACCCTTTTTGTTTTCTTCCTAAGGTGACTAAAACCCTAGTTATCGGAATCTGAGATAGGGAACAGATAGTCTATCCAAATGAGCTCTCCCTCTTACTGAGACTGGAGTGTCTAATGGACAATCATATTTCCTAGTGGCTCCCTCAGAAGCCCTCTTAGCAAGATCATCTGCCACACTATTTGCCTCTCGAAAAATATGAATAATTCTTGAATGTGATAGGCTCAACATGAGAGAATTTCCATGGAAAGCTCATTCCTTTTTGGAGACAAAGTGCGATTACCTTATTGTCCGTTTGCACTTCAATTCGTAGAATTTCCAAGCTTTCAGACCATGATATACCCCTGCAAGTTCTGCTTCTAGACGTGTTGCTATGCCCATATATCTGCTTTCAGCTGCAATAATTAGCCGGTTATCACCTCGCAAAACATATCCCCATCCTGCTTCACCTGGTTACCCTAATGCTGAGCCATCTGTATTTAACACGTACTCTCCTGATCTGGTGGCTTCCATTTAACAATTTGAATCTTCTTGCTTCGTGGCCTTAGCACTTTCGCATTAAAAATCTCTTCCACTTCTTTTTGTTCCACAATGGTCCCTGTCTGAAGCTTATGTACACTCAACAGATTGGAAATATTAGTATCAATAGCCTTAAGCTACTGTGATAAAGAAAAAGAAATACCTTCGAAGACCATTTTATTCCTAAGTTTCCAGACTTCCCATAATATAAACAAGGGTGTCACCATGATAATTGATTTTTTTGCAGTCGTGAAATTCCCTACAAACTGTCATGCTTGTAAAAGTCTCCACCATCCAGTGTGATTTTGAGAAACAATTCCTAATTTGGCCGCAAAATGTTGCCACACCATAGCTATCTGTGGGCAGCCATAGAAAGTATGATCAATACTTTCTTCCGCATTTAGGCAAAAAAGACATTTCGATGGATTCAACATGATACTCATTTTCATCAATATTTCTGGAAAAGGAAGCAAGTGATTATAAAGTCTCCATGCAAAAAATGAAACTTTCAACGGAATAATTTTATTCCAAAAATTGCTTAAAAAAGAAAAAACTTCTCTGGCATTACGAGTCTCATTGTAGGCAGACGCGATTGTGAATTCTCCCGTTATCGATGGAGTCCACACGAGTCTATCTCTTTTTTCCAAGAAAATAAAATCCAAAGTACGCAGCTTAGAGATTATCTCCGGTTGCAACAGTTCATTAAAAACCTGCAAGAAAAAAAGATTTAGAATGAAAAAACTCTCGGACTGTTAGATTTAAAGCAGGTGGCATATGTTCTTCATTCCAAATTGTGGAGGGCGAAATCCATCTGTCAAACCAAAAGGATGATGATCCATCTCTAATCTCAATTTTTGATCTCATCAACGCTAAGTGATTTACACGCTGAATTCTGGACCAACTTGTCCTCCCTTTTGCCGTATTTGATAAAGAACTAATAAAACACGCCCAAATTCCTTTTGAAGTCGCCTCCTTCCACCACAGCTTTAAGGAGAAAGCTTGCATAACATCCCTCAGATTCCTTATATTCAGCCCATTTTCAGCAACTGGAGCTGTTACATGGCACCAAGCACGCCAATGCTTCTTATTCCCCTCTTCGGTTTCACCCCACAAAAAATTTTGGCATTTGTGTTCAAGGGCAGCAATTATCATCTTAGGAGGCTCAATGGCAGCCAATGTATGTATTGGCAATGCAGAAAGAACATGTCGAAGTAAGATCAACTTCCCTCCTTGCGATAAAAACTTGTTCTTCCAGTTTAACAACTTTGCATCAAAAGCTTCTAACAAATGCTTAAAATACTTATTTTTCTTCCTTCCTTTGTAAAGCTTACAACCCAAGTAAGTGAATGGTAGACTTCCCTGTGGCATTTGAAGCGTTTGAGACACCGAGTGGACATGTTCCATGGTACTTTTATCTGAAACATAAAAACAAATTTTCTGTTTGTTAATTCGATGTCCCGTAGCTACTTCATAATCCTGCAAAAAAGAGTTCAAATGCTGCATAGAATGTGTTAGCCCTTTTGTAAAAACAATAAGATCATCGGCAAAACTTAGATGAGACGGTATTATTGCTCCAGCCGGCACTCCATACAATGCAATCCCTCCTTTTTCTGTGAGAATTTTCAGATTTCTAGTAAGCGCCTCCGACACCAAGATAAATAAATAAGGCGAAAGAGGATCGCCTTGTTTAATTCCTCTGGATGCCTGAAAAAATCCTACTGGACTCCCGTTCAAGAGAATAGAAAATCAGCTTTGTTCTAAATTTGACATGACCAATCTCACAAAATGCCCATGAAATCCAAACTTCAAGAGAATGCGGTGCAAAAAACCCCAAGAGACCCGATCAAACGCCTTCATCATGTCAAGCTTTAAAATAAGATTTCCACCTCGAGCTGGATGATCCAGGAATTGCAAAAGGTCTTTTGTCATGAGAATATTATCAATTATATCTCCTCCCGGCAAAAAGGCTGATTGCTCTTCAGAAATCAAAGACGGAAGTACACTTTTTAGACGTTCCGTTAACAACTTCGTGAAAATTTTGTTGAGGAAGTTACATAAGCTGATTAGACGGAAGTCTGCAAAAGTTGTAGCACTCGCTTTTTTAGGAATCAATGTGATTATGGTGCTTCCAATTGCTCTCGGTAAAGGGATGCCATGCATAAATTCCAAACAAGATTCCATGAGATCCTGATGTATTATATCACAGCAATGACGATAGAAGTCTCCTCCAAAACCGTCAATCCCTGGAGCGCTTGAAGGATCAAGACCAAAAACTACCTCCTTGAGTTCCTCAATTGTTACCGGCTTTAAAAGAGATTGATTGTCCTCACTGCGAACGATTGCAGGAATATTCATCAACAATCTATTACTTGCTTCCTCCTGATCATCCATCTCCTCTTTTGTTAGAAGTTGCTTAAAAAAAGAGACGGCTTCTTCTTCAATTTCGTCCCTCCGCATCAACCATGATCCCGATTGATCTCTGATTTTGTGAATTCCCAGCCAAGTTTTCCTTTCAATCATAGACGCGTGGAAGAAAGCGGAGTTAGTATCTCCCTCATGAAGCCATTTCTGCTTCGACCCTTGCTGTAAAAAATCATCTTGCTCTCGGAGTTTTAGCAATAAGTGAGCCTTTGATTTCTGAAGCTCAATTCTATCCTCTATTGCGCCAGTCTGATCATAGATCCCCTCTCTGATTTGAACTTCATTTTTCGCATCTTTTATGTTTTGGAAAACGTCTCCTACGTCAACTCTTATTCCAAACCTTCAGCCGCGCCTTCAATCTCCTTAGTTTCATGGAGAATTTCGCCATACCAAATATATCAAGTGGTTGTTTCCAGCATTCCTTTACCATGTCTAAAAAATTTTCATGACGAATCCACATCTTTTGGAACCGGAAAATACTTGGTTTTGTTGCAACATTGGTCTGCAATTGATGAAGTAAGGGAGCATGGTCTGAAGTGGTTCGATTAAGATGATGCAACGAAGAAATCTGAAAAAGAGCCATCCATTCTGGATTAAACAAAATGCGGTCCAACCTTTTCTTAACTCTGCCATTTTGCCGATTACCAGACCAAGTGAAGAGACTGCCAATAGGAGACAAATCGGTTAGATTACAGCTACTTATCCACGAGTTAAAATCTTCCATTGCTCCTCTATCCGGCTGCGAATTCCCATCGTACTCTTCCATATTCCTGATTATATTAAAATTGCCTCCGACCATCCATGTAATTCCAGCATTTCAATCATGAAACTCTTGTAATTCTGTCCATAAAGCTTGTCGTTCTTGCCTTGTTGACCTTGCATAGATTGCTGAAACCAACACTCTTTGGCCAATCTTATGATTCTCAACTTCCAAATGAAGGGATTGGTCTGATCCTTCCAGCAATTGTGACTCCCAATCTGATGATCAAAAAATCCAAATCTTCCCATTTTTTGAAGCATATACATCTTTAAAACCAAGCTGATTTTTTAGGACCTCAATTTTAGATTCCGGTAACATAGGTTCTAATAAAATTACAAAAGAAATAAAATGCTGCCTAACCAAATTCCTCAAACGTCGTCGAGATGCCTTGCTCCCAACTCCGCGTATATTCCATATTAATTGATTATTCATTGGAAAACTTAGGAGATGATCCACCATTGAGTCTCAAAGATTTACGAGTTTCAGTTGTTTGGACCGTCTTCTTTTTCGTAGATCCTTTTGGTTGACCAACTCTAGGTTTGCCACCCCTCATCATCAGAAACCACAAGGTGAGCAAGCTCGCATGTTTCCATACTGGAATTAGATACAAGAACCGAATCATCCTTTATTCGTATTTCCTCCGCAATCTCATCCAAATCCGAGTCAGATTCTGCCACCGATGTTACCGTCTCTTTAGCACGCTCATCATCCATATTATCCTTAGAATTGAACCTTCCCATATGTCCATCATCTTCACCATTATCCTCCTTCAAATCATCCAAAACGTCAAAGCGTGATGACAAGTCCACCTGTGGAAGTTGTTTACAAATGTTGTTCGCCGGATCAATTTTATGTTGCTGTTCCTGATCATCCCATGCATCAACCTTGTCTCCTTCCTTGCTGTTTTCAAAAGTAGTTTCCAGTTATTCTTTCGAGATGCGTCGTTTCCCAGATGAAGGAATAAAGGGGCTTTTTTCTGAAATATCAATTGGGGTTTCACCTTTCTCCTTCATTGACAATCCTGATGAAGACGCATCAGAGGACGATTTAACCTGAGTATCCCTTTTATCATTAGCTTGGGTCTTCGGTTTCCAGTTGGTTTGAGGTACTGAATGCTGCGCTTTCATCTTTTCTGGCACCTTCATAGGAGCTTTCGGTGCCGGAATCAGTTGAACCTTGGGCTTCCCGCGACGGCAATCCTTGATTCCATGTCCCACTTTTTTGCATTCCGAGCAATATTCCAGTAAATTTTCGTAAGTGATATCTTGATAATAAGAGTACTCCTCTATCCCCAGCAGTACTCGTTGCGGCAATTGATGGAGTAAATTAACCTCGACGCAAACTCGAGCAATCGACGGACGCGATAAATTCAGGGTCGGCACATCTATTTTGAGCGGTGTACCAACAATGCTTGCCAATTTACTCAGGTATTCCGCATTGAATCGATGAAGTGGCAAACCTTCAAAAGCAATCCATACCGGAACTATGGATGATTCATGTTCTGTATTGAATTGGGGAGTCCACTTTAAAACACGCATGATGTGGTGGTCGAAAGACTATAGTTCCTTGATCCAACATCGATGGTAATCTTCTTCTAGATCGAAAAGAATATGAATATGTCTGTGATCTATCATACCTAATGAATAGCTTCCCTTGAATCTAATCTTTTGAAATTGATGCCATAGGAAGTCCATTTTTGGCCTCCCTTTCGAAAATTTTCCAACCAAGGAAAGCTTAAATGGGGCTGCAAGGGTTTCATCCTCTTCTTTGGTTAACAGGAACACGGGTTCTCCCTTGTATACTGAGGGTTTAGACTGAATTGAGGGGAGTGAAGATGGCTGCTTACCAGAAGGATTGATGATACTTATCGGATTAGTCTTTGAGCTGTTTAAAATTTGGACGAAAGAGGGTAATTTCTGCCCGTTATCATCTGGCGGCAGGGTTTCGGACAATAGGCCTAGAGAGATGTGAGAGCGTTTCTTCCTAGAGAGATCCGAAAATGCTATAATTCTAAAACACTATTGATAATTCCATTGCTCAATTATACTTATAATAATAATAATAATAAATAAATGAATTGTCCTCTAGTAAAATTGGACCTGTTTTCACATCATGATATCTTTAATTAATCTGAAAGATGTATTCTACATCAAACCTTTGAAACAAAGTCAAGACAGATGAATAATTAATTGCACTTTTTGGCTTTTAATTTGATGGAAGATATTGATATTGTGTATTTCCCTCAATTTTCTTCTTCCTTTTTTTTTTTTTTTTTGACGTTTGTTTGGAATCATCTTGATAAATTTCAAAGAGTTTAGATGGACTCTACCTCGTTGATCGCTTCACAACAAACATAGTACAAGTTTCAATTGATGGTAGCTATATAGGTACTCTCAGTGTTTTAGTATAAATTATGTTAAAATTGAAATTTTACATTCATAATTTTGAAACAAAAAAGCATATAATGTCATTCAATCACATCAGCTTCTACGAATTTTCCTTCAAAAAAATTTCATTTCATTGATTTTATTTTGGGTCCCTCTAGACTTCACATTTCAAAGATCTCGCACGAACATTTTAGTACAATTCTAGTCCTCTACCACTATATCATGCTCAGTGCTTATGACTTTAAAGCTTGCATTGAAAAAAAATCTTTGATATATCGTGCTAATTTTCTTCTTTAAAGGAAAAAAAAAAAAAAAAAAACTAATCGAAACATAGTATCTTCATAAGCACCATCGAAAGTGCTTCTACTTCTTTTTAAGAAACCAATGGTAGAAACAAAAAGGAAATAAGGACGCATGTTAACCCACCAAAGTTTCTATTTTATGGAATCTTTAAGTTCTTTCGGTAATAATTTATACAATTTGAATGGGTAGTGGAATGTTTTTCTAGGAAAGATGTAGGAAAATGGAATTAATAGGCGACATGCGATGGTCATTTTTCATCGGCCTAAATGACCACTGCTTCTTCATCTGTAAATGGGTAACCCCACCATAATCACGAGGACTGATGGACGATCTTCCTGGAAAAAGGAACCCTGAAAAGAATGAAAAATATAAGGTAATGATTATACTCAAGAATAGTAATTTTCTGAAAAGATTTCGGAACTGGATTTTGTGTAGTGAGTAGTGACCCATTGTGTGATTCATTAGACTACAACTTCTTTTAGTCCTCAACTTCTTATAACAAATCATTCACAGATTATACACAATCTGTAACGTCTCGTGTGGGTAGGTGTTATTCGTGACTAAATTAAACGTTTACCTTCGCCACTCTAAATGTTTAAACTGGATTTTTAATATTGTAGGTGTTGAAGCTTATATATTTGTCTCTTTGTTTGCCACATAGACAGAACTAACTTGATTCGAAAATCCATTCAGTCTAGCCTCGGGAAGGTTAATCGGATTGGATTAGTTGTTGTTTACATTGGGCTATTGTATTATTGTATCAGGATACAACCATCGTACATGTGTTTTAAGTCTTAGATAGTTCAGAAAAGTCAAATTATTTTTTTTTTGTTTTTTTTGTTTGTTACAATGAAGAAAGTCAAAGTCTAAAATACTAGAATACTACCAATCCAATTCCTACGCATAAACAATGATTTAAATCATGCCATTAAAAAAAAAAAAGAAAAGTGAAATTATTAACACGAGTAGAATGAGTATTTTTTTCATGACACGATAAAAGATGATACCAAGTCACCAAATCTTGATAAAAGCTGGATATACATAGTTGATGATTCACTGAAATAGTAACTAACAATTTTTTAAAAAACACTTGGATTGGAATAATTAGTTGTTGACCCTCGTTGATAAAGGGGAAGGTTATCATGTCTAGTGTCACTTATTTATCCTAGTGGCTTAGTGGGAACTTATATACTTTCCCATCTATCAACATTTATTTTCATTATTATTATTTGGCCAATAATTAAATAATCATGAGAGAAATGTGTTCCCTTTTTATAAATATTTAATGGCCGCACATGCTGGATTAGTGTCCTTGCGCATTTTTTTTTTATGCAAGATATAGTTTGAGTGAAAATGTTAATGAAAAGAAATCAACTACTTACAATGAGGTACCAAATCATCATTGCCTTAAAAGGTTTAAAGATTGAGCTGATTGATGTTAATTTGTCCTCTTATGTTGGTGGTAGGATGAGATAAAACTTGTTTGCGTTTTCTACAATTATTAGTTTCATATTCTTTGTGACCTTTAAATCCCTTCTCCTACTACAGTTGAACGTCAGTAAATTAATCCTAATATTTAGATAAAAGTCTCTAAGACAAATATATTAAGTAAAAACTATTGAGTTAAAAATATTGAGTGAAAATATTCATCTCAGATGAGATCTCGTCCGTTAATAGGTTTCGATCTGACAGTCGAAATTGATTTCACCGCCACGACTTAAGTGAGGTTAAATTCATAATTTAATATATTGGATTTTCTCAATCTTTTTTATTTTTAAATAAACTCCAAATTGTAAAAATGACATTGTTTTGAGCAGGACTTTTTTTTTAAAACCCCTAACTACCAAAACGACGTCATTTTGCTCATGGGTTTTTTTGCTTTTTTGTTTTTCCTTCTTATCCTATTACTCCTTTCGCATATGATGCTTTTGTAGCTTCGTTGCTAATCAAAATAGAATTGACTATCCTAATTGGAGGAGAGACGACGCCGGCTATGTGTGTAAGAGGACAAGGGGCGAATTTATAGACGAAGAAGAAGAAGGAAGGAAGAAAGTGTTGAGGGTCATGTGCTAAGGGTTGTAAATCCCACATCGGAGGCAGAAAAACATGTGAATCACTTAATAAATAAGGTGGACTCAGAACCCATTAGCTTGAGCTTTTGAGTCCAGATGGGTCTTATCTTACTTATTGGGTTTCATGTCGGGTTTTCTCTCCCAGATTAATCCCCAACAGTGGTATCAGAGCTACGGTTCGGTAGTTGAGGTGTTACACAAATAAAATGAAAGAGTCATCGGGTACTGGTACGATGATTAAATTGACTTCATCCAATTATCATATGTGGAAGCCTAGAATGGAAGATTTGTTGTATTGCAAAGATTTGTTTGATCCTGTTCTAGGGGATGAAGGTAGGCCAAGTGATATGACTAATAAAAAGTGGGCTGATATGCACAGAAAAACTATTGGTAATATTTGACAGTGGATTGATGAAAATGTGTTTCATCACGTTTTGGGAGAGACAAAAGTTGATGAACTTTGGGAGAAATCCAGAATATGTACTGGAAGAAGTCCGGTATCAATAAGTCATCTGCGCTGAAACAGATTACCAGGTTGAGGTATAAAGATGGTGCTAGCATGAATGAGCACTTGAGTTCGTTTCAGGGTTTGTTGAACCAGGCAGTGAATGTAGGTTGAAAGTTGGATGATGAGGTGCATGCTTTGTTATTGTTTACTTCTCTTCCAGACAGTTGGGACACTTTGGTAGTGTCAATCAATAATTCAACCCATGATGATGTCTTGACCTTGGATCAGGTCAAAGAGGCTTGGATGAATGAAGAAGTCAGAAGAAAAGAGCAGAGTATTGTGTCTGAGTCGCAGGCTCTGGTGACAGAAAAGTCAGATAGAAGAGGGAGAAGTAAAAGCAGAGGGCCATATGATCGGAATGACAAGTCCAGAGGACTATCTAAATCCAAGAAAGATGTCATGTGCTACCATTGTCAAGGGAATGGGCACTTTAAGAGGGAGTGCAGGGTTCTCAAGAGAGAACTAGCAGCGAGAAAAGGTAAAGGGAAGAAGGATGAATCAAGTGATGATGACACTACTGCAGTAGTAACTACCAATGATGTATTTGTATACTGTGATGATGATACAATTACTGTTTCGAGTCACAACAGTGATTGGTTCGGTGATTTAGGTGCGTCTTATCATGTGACGCCTCACAGACACTTCTTTAGCTCTTACACACCTGGAGATTTTGGTCGTGTAAGAATGGGCAATCAAGCCTCATGCGATGTTGTCGGCATGGGAGAGGTATCATTGGTAACGAATACAGGTTGTACTCTTTTCTTGAAGAATATCAGACAGGTTCCGGATATGCGTCTGAACCTTATTTCCGTTGGAAAACTTGATGATGAGGGTTATCATAGCACTGAAGGTGGTGGCCATTGGACAATTACCAGAGGGAATCTTGTTATTGCTAGAGGAAAGAAGTTGAACTCTTTGTATGTGTTGAATGCAAAGTTGAAGAATGGAGAGGTGAATTCAACTTATAATGCCTCCATTGATCTCTGGCACAAAAGGCTTTGACACATTAGTGTCAAGGGGCTCCAGATTCTTGGTAAGAAGTAATTTATCCCTGAGGTGAAAGGTACTGCTCTAGAACCTTGTGTTGACTGTATCTATGGTAAACAGCATAGGGTTTCCTTTCAAAATTCTCCTCCATCTGGAAAGTCCAGTCTTCTAGAGTTAGTTCATACAGATGTATGTTAAATGAAAGATAGGTCGTTGGGTGGAGCATTGTACTTTGTTACTTCCATTGATGACTATACTCAAAAGGTTTGGTGTTTTTCTTT